AGAAAATCACTTTAAAAGAAATGATGACATGCAGATCAGACTTAGACGGGGATTCAGTTGGAGAACAAATATGCCGTTATAGTCAGAAAGTCTGAAATGATGTATTTGAGCAGCTGGAAATGATTCAGCAACATATTGTATGTAGCATGAATTCTGCCTGGTGCAATAAATATTTGCTAAAAGCCTATTAGCTGACCAGGCAAAACTATACTCACCTATATTTCTTTATTCATAATCATACCATATTCAATCTCCTTTCATTTATCTAATATAGGAAGTTTGGAGAGGAAATATAGTCGTAGGTACGAAATATTAGGACACCAGTGTGCTGCCATGGTATGAATGCATTACCAGGGTTGTCCCTGAATCATTTTCAATCTGTGTCCCCTTTCAATAACCATTCTGCAATTCTGAGACAACAATTTACATATCAATGTGTTCCTTCAGAGAGGGATTACCAACAGAAATTGGACTTGTTACAGATTTGATGGAAAGAAGCAATCTACAAATGGCTCATAAAGGAATGCATTTTCTCACTCCCTGACATGAATGCTGATGCTAAGTCATTGTAGTGATCAGAGAAAACACAGCTATGTACAATGTTGCTACAGGCTAGTTTCAGGACAAAACTGTAAAGCAAATTTACAAATTTGAACATGTTAAAAAAATATCCATTGTTTGCTACATAATGTGAAAATCTTGCAATTTCAAGGCTATAATTCCTTTTATCGGTACCAATTGGGCCATCATGAGCTAAAACAATCTTGTTAGAGATCAAGTGGTTCCCCCCAGTTTTTACTTTCTGTAATCCAACACTGCAAAATATAAAAAACAAAGCCTGCAATTTATTCTCACAGGACAACATAATCTGCTACAATTAGGATATGTCTATTAAGAATTTCGAACCTTTGCATGTATTAATTGTGGAGACAAAATATAACCCAGCATTCAATACTTCTAAAGTATAGAAGGTTATAAGAGCAGCCAGTATTATTACGTTAATAACCATAAGTTATGGGTTGGCATGTCCTTCAGCTGGAGTTCAGGTCTGGCAAACATTCAATCTGCTGAGTGTCTTGAAGCAAAATCTTT